CAAGTTATTATTGACAGTTTCCTTAATATTAATGAACAATTATGGAAAACATATTACATTTATTTCTCAAACTGGAAAAAACAACAAAATAGACTTCAATTCCAACCAATCAACAAATCTTCAATATTACCTAACTCAGCAACTAGGTATACACATTTCTATAAAACTATACTTACTTATGCCTTTGTGGACTTCCAGATCAACTATATACTCATCCTAATACATGTCCTCTTATCAGTCAAGCAATTTGCAAAATCAACATTTGGTCTATTTTATGAATCAAATATAGTATATTATCAAATTATATACTAAATATTTAAATCTAAATAAGCTTTAACCATTCTAGTAGGTTTAGGTCACAGATAAATTAGTCTGAGCTTTTATTCTTACATGTAATTTTCAATTTATTTGTTTTATACAAATAATAATAGCTATATAGTTAGCAGTTTAATGGTTAGCCCTAACTGCAAGTGTTGGCTTCAGTCATAGTATATATACATGTAACTATTTTAAATTATTAATAAAAATATAAATAAGGCCTTACCTTAATACCAAAAAAAAAAGTATGATTCTGTGTATTAAAATTACCAAGAATAATAGAATAAAGGTAGAGTTAAAAAGCTTATTAAATCTAGTTAATTACTGTGTTTTGGGTTTGGTTATGAATAGCTATATCAGTAGATAAGAGGTATACTAAGATAATACAAAGTTTGACATTGCTTTGAAAGAAAATATCAAGTACAATAGCTTCTTCTAGGTAAATATAAACACTGTGAATATGAGGTTTAAGATAATTATGAATCATTATGGCTATCTTTTCTATAGAAATAGAAAAGTTAGACCAGTAATAGATGAAAAAATTATTATTTCAGAAGAAAAGTTTAGTTTTATCAGAAATTTTTGTTTTAGTAATACTGATAATAGATATGTCATTATTAAGAAAATAATTTTGCCAGGCTTCTCTTTTTGTTGAATTATTAAAGTCTCTAATATTGTATATAGCAATAATTAGGTTAAGATAATGTAAACTTGGGTTAGAAAAATGTAAAGTAGAGTTATAGTCAATAGGAGTTAAGTAATAATCATTAGAGAAAGAATCAAATAGAATAGAAGTAAAGCTAAAAGAGTTAGATTTGAGGTAAAGATTATAGAATAGTAAAAAAAGATGTAGAGCAATAATAATATAATTTAACAAAAAGGTATTATTAAAGAGGTATATATGGGTTTTATTATAAAATGAATTAATAAAAAATGTAATACTAGATACAGTTTTGTTGTTATTATATTTGTTAATATGTTGAATTAAAGTTTGAATAATTTAATTATGAGGAAGAAGTAATAAGTTGTAATAAAGAAAGAATTTGTTAAAGCATGTGTAAAGATTATAGAAGATTAAAGATGTTGTAAATGATCTTTCAAAATTGTCTTCTACAGAATTGATCACTGTATGTTCAGCTTTTACAGCTGTACAAGGTACTATAATCTGCTTTGTATGTTGGGTCTGACTGTCATTAACATGGCTTTTCATATAGGGCATTACTTTTGTTAAGTACTGTATATTACTAAATTAGAATATTATTTAAAACATAAAACATTATTTTAGATATTTAAGTTTCTAAAAATTTATATAACAATGTTCTATATATAATACTACTTAAAAGCATCTATGTTTAATAAAAACTATCACTCTTTAAAGACAAAAACTTTAATTTAAAAAAAAATTAAAAAAAATAAAACTTGTTACTTATATATAATAGTAATAATAATGTTTAATATAATATGTAATAACCTAGTAAAGTGAATAGGTTGTCAACTCTCAAGTGGCAGATCTAAGGTTCAATTCTCATAAACATTAAATTTTAGAAATTATATTTGTATTACAATAACTGTTTTTTGCTGATCAGTTGAGTTTTGAACATTTATAATCTTAAATATATCAAGTCAGAACCAACCTAATATTGAAAGCTCAGGGTATTTATATAAAGTATAATGTTACATATATATTGAGAAATGTAAAAAACTGATATTGTATAAGGCTTTAGTGCAAATATATAATAAGACCACTAGGCATAAAAGGCTAAAAAACTGAGAAGACAAAAACTCATTTAGAAATTCCAAGTAAAGAGATAACACAAACTTTTAATAATGCTATTGAATAAATAGAAGCTTATAAAACATTTTTATAGGAATTGTCAGATAAATCAGATAACAGATATATAAAGAAAGCACATGTACCAACCAGCCACTAGAATCACTAAAAAGAAAAGGATATATAAGTATACTAATACTGAGCCATCTGAATTGGAAGTCTAAAATGTAAGTTGGTTCTGAGTTGTGGCTAATAGGAGATAATAAAGAAGATATTAGAAAGATAGGTATCTGAGTTTGAGTAAACTTTATAAGAATAATAGCAGTTTAATAAATAACTCTGACTGCAAATGTTAGTCTTGACCATAATGTCAAACCAGATTAGTAGTAAACTAAAAATATGACTTATTCTGATAGATTTATTTTAAAAATAAAAATAGTTTAAAAATTATAGTTCTAAAGGTCGATAGCAAACAGATCTGAGTCAGTAACCTGATAAATTTAATATCAGAACCAGATTAGAGAGTTTAAATAAAACATTCAAGCAGAGATATTAGATACATCAATTAGTAAAAAATCTTTAAACAGACTCTTTAAATAGGTAATATAAAAAAGCTATATATATAACTTGTTGTACAATTATCTAACAATTTAATATAGATACATCTATATATATATGTGCTTGATATAAGTATTAATAAAAAGTTAGAACCAAAAAGATTACCTTAATACTGAAAAAAAATAATATTATTTAATAAAGATATGACAATCTAATAAAGTAATCAGGTTGACAACTTTCAAGTAACAGATTTAGAGTTCAAATTTTATAAATAATGAATTTTAAAAATTATATCTGTATTATGGTAACTGACTCTGTTGATCAGTTGGATTAGATATATCTGTAACCTTCAGTTACATCATCTTGAATGAAAGCTTAAAGCATCTATATAAAATGTATTATTGCATATACATAGAGGAATGTTTAAATAATATTGTATAAGACTTCAGTACAAACTTATAATAAGACCACTGAATGCAAAAAATGAAAGAACTATGATTTCAGAAACCTATTTGGAAATCTCAAATAAGAAGATAGTACAAATTTTTGATAATGTTATTAGATTAATGAAAACTTATAAAACACTTTTAGTAAGAATAAACAAATAAACTAGATGATAAAATATGTAAAGAAACATATAACAAATCAGGCTACTGAAATTTTTAGAAAAAAAAGATACTAAGATATACTATACTGAATCATTTGAATTGAAAGTCTAAAGAATCTTGTCAGTTCTTAGAAATGATTAGTAGAAGATAATAGAGAAGACATCAGAAAGATGAGTACTAGGATTTAAATAAACCTTACAAAATTTAATAATTTAATGATTAACCCTAATTGCAAGTAATGGTTTAAGCCAAACTAATATCAGGTCAGCTATAAATATGGAATACAGAAAACTCTTATAGGTTTTATACAAAGTTAAACATAACTTAGAAACTATGACATATTTTTACTAGTTTACTGAAATTATTAGTAAGACATAATAGATATGGGATCAAAATATTTAAATAAAAAATTTACAGATAGATTTTAGATATAGCAACTAATGTAAACTTTTAGACAGACTATTTAAATTAGACAATGACTAAAGTTGTATGAGTGACTAGTTATACACTCTTTTTATAATTGCCTCTGTGTCTGTTATATTAACAGATGCTAACTAATATATACTATTAATAAAATCCTGGATCACATGTACTCATCTTAATATTAAAGTAATAATAATAATAATACTGTATAACATTACTGTTTCAAACTTACTTAATAAAATTTAGTATTCTGATTTATTACATATACCATATCATACTGATTAAAAATCTTTTTTTGATTATATTTTTTATATATTATACAAGAGAATTCTATTAATTGTAAATAATTTTTTTTAAAGTCACAAACTGCATGTTATTTCTTTAGTCTAAAATTGAAGTAGGTTTCTTTGTTATACAATATATTTAGATATTTTATAAGTTTAAACCTTGGGTCTTCTAATAAGTACGGTACATTAACTACAGTTAAGTAATTAAAAAAATGAAACTTTAGAATTTAAAATTAAAACTATTAATGATTTAAGCTAAAAGTAACTATTTTATTAGTGCACAATTTAAATTAAAAAGAACTTCGAACAAAATGCCCAATCAAAAAAAGAGAATAAGTTAATTATAAAAAATAAAATTATATATTGAACCTTAAGATATCAAAATTCATGTTTGTGATTGGCTTATCATCATGAGATATTACTTTAACATCAACCAAAAGGTCGCTCACATGATGCTCCAAAATTCTTTAGAGTCCACTTATTTTAAGATTAGAGTTAGATTTAAAATTAGAAAATGGCTGGCATATGATAAAATTGTCCAAAAAATTTTTAGAGCATGAAAGGTGATCTATTAAGCAAATTTTCGAGTTTAAAAGAGATTTTTGAAAACGAACGTTTGTTTTGAAGCTTCCTAGTCATGTTATGTTCGAGTTGTTATTATATGATTTCACATGATCGATTTACATTAAAAATATTTACTTTTTTTGCATCATTTTATCTATACATAACATAAAATCTTATTAAGATATCAACACTTCTTTCTTAAGTAAAAAAAATGTTCCTGAGTCAATTTCGGATTCGTTAGCTAAAAAAAAACAAATTTGTAATTTTCATCTCTTTTCGCAACATCTAGTCCATTTGAACTCAGTAGAAATATTTTAAACTGTTTCACAGAGATGTAATTCTTTATTAAACATTAATATATTTATAGTTGGATATCATTTCTTAAATGGGTCTCCACAAGATACGACGGAATCCAACAACCACGATAATGAATCCTTCTAGTTTATTAGGACCTGATATGATTATCTTAATTCATTCATCGAATACCCCCGAAGTAGAATATCCAACCGCATGACCCTTTGCTATTGTACTCATATATGACCTTAACTGTTCTAATCCATCATTTATTATTTCACGTATGGTTGTCTGTACCGTTTTTCTAAGATTCGTTGACCAATATACGTATCGTCTATTCAGTAAAGACTCTTCATCTTCCGTCTCAAGGATCTTATCTAACTTTTCTAACTCGTTAGCACCAAGAACTCCTACTTGATTTCCAACATCTCTCACCAGACCGTTTAACGAAATATATTTAAGTTCTAAACAAACATCG